ATGCAACAGACATTAATGATAACAGCAAATCAAGTTTTTCTAAGCAGTTTTCATCTGCTGCTTGATAAAAATGTGGTGGAAAAAGTTTCTTCACAGAACGGCGCCATGAAATTATTACAGGACTATGACTTGATCTTGATAAGACAAAACATATAAATCATGAAAGCCAAACAAACGCTTGTGGTCACATCTCTGTCATGTTTTACAATCAGACAAGAATGTGATTCCCAAGTCACATCATGTTTCTGTGCATCTTTTTGCTAAGCCAGGGCATTGTTTCCAGTGTTATGAATATGTAATAAATAGCTGTGAGCAAATTTGGAGTGCATTTCCGTGCAGCTGGCGCGTCGATGATTTTAAATGAAAATCCCAGTTAGGCTGCTAGCTTTAGCGTTCGGCGTAAACCTCTCTCCTGGGTCATTGAAATATTGTGAATTCAGGAACAGTAGATGCTGGAAAACAGCTTCTCTGTGGGAACACTGATGTTTTTTGTCTCAGTCGGGGATGCTTTATTGAATTCCTCTTAAGGCTAATGCAAACACGGCAGACGGAGAAGGTAAAGTCCCTGACCGTAATTGAAAGTGACTCGTGTCGCCTCAGTTTGAAGAAGGATGTCGCTTTTGCTTGTCCTTTATTATCATCGTTTGCTGGTCTTACGGGTGATTCTCTGCATTAGCCGATCGAGGAAACTGGTTTTAGGAGCCGTTTGGTTTGCTTTAAGGCATAATGATGAAGTTTAGCTCAATTTCAGACACAACAATCACATATTGTTATACATTTTTCAGTGTAAATTGTTCACAAATGCATTTTTACATAATTTTTATATTGAATTTGAACACAATCAAGCAATAAATCTACTGTTTTACAAACAATTAACACAGACATTTGTTCTGCTCATGCTTAATGCACGAGGCCTGTTGTGTTTCTGTACTGTAGGGGGCGATATTTTTAAACCAGGTGTGTAATTGCTATAAGTATACTGCCATTTTAGCTAACTTTCTCTCAACCAGTTATAGCTATAGCATCCTTAGCAGCGTTATTGCATTGTGAATTGCAAGAACATTTCAGACCGTGTGATGTTTGAAATCTAGTTTGCGTAGTTAGAAGTATTTCGACCCTTAAGAAGTGTTTTGTTATTAGTGAATTCGTTTTTATGCTTTTTTTGTAGTGAAATAAATATTTAGTTAAATACATAAGCAATAATCTACAGTAAGTGAGTCATTATCGCAACATAGACCTGAATATGAGAAGAAATTCAGAAACACTGAATTCAACCTCCTCTTTGATGGTGGTTTGTTTTTGAGCCTTTATTTTGCAATAATGATCGTCTGTCTGCACATTATCCCACTTATTAAGCAGCTACTTAACAAATAAATTAATATATGAACATGAAATGTTCAATTCAGCAAATTATTTTATTAGTTCACTTGTAAGGAGTGTGCAAAGACTAAACTTGAACATACACTACCTTTCAAAAGTTTGGTATTGGTAAGATTTTTTAATGCTTTTGTAAGAAGTGTCTAATGCTTACCAGGGCTGCATTTATTTATTTATTTTTATTTATTTATTTTCGGCATCATTACTCTAGTCTTCAGTGTCACATGATCCTTCAGAAATCATTCTAATATGCTCATTTGCTTCATTCTGATATGCTGATTTGCTGCTCAAGAAACATTTCAGATTATTATCAATGTTGAAAACACTTTAATATTTCTGTGAAAACTTATGTTTTTTAATAGATCAATAGAAAATTTAAGAGAACAGCATTTATGTATTTATTTTAAAATAAATATTTTATAATATTATATACGTATTTACTATAATTTTTGATGCATCTCTGCTGAATAAAAGTATTAATTACTTTTCTTTAAAAAGAAAAAAAAACCATTACTGACCCCAAACGCTAGTGTAGCTCTTTATGAAATATTCGTTTTAGAAATAAGCAGTTAATTATAAAGTGTTGTCATGGACGATGTCATTAATATCAGAAATATTTGACTGCTGAATGCCACGATTGACCAATCAGAATTAGTATTCCAGGGAGCTGTTTGTTTATCACTATGTTTCTGAGTTATGTAAAGTGTCAGATATCGTGTTATTTCTGGCTCCAGCATGCTAATCACTTCAGTTTGGGTGTGATTGAATCGTTAAGAAGAATGTCTCCTTCAGCAATAGGACTTTCTGTCTGGAATTGGGGTCACAGAGGTCATTTCCAATTCTGATACTAAAAAATGATTTCACATATATCCCAACATTACCATATTAAAATGGCCTGAGGATCTGAAGCGTCATGAATACTAAACTGCTTTATAATAGATCAGCCCATACCGTAATGATTCATTTGATGCAGAATATGAGAGGTTTCCACGATGGTTCTTAGGAAGCAAACAGCTGATGGTTTATCATGCGGAGCAGACGTGGAGGTCAGTCTGGCATTCCTGTGGGCTCAGACGGACCTGCGTTTACCCTGTTCCTCCTGGGAGACTGTCATGTCACGTCTGTCTCTCCTCACAAAAACACAGACTCGTCTTGTTAAAGCTGAGGTGTCATTTCTTCACACATCATCATTAGCTTTCATAATACGTCAAATGAAGCTGAATAATTGGAAATAGCTTGATTTTATCCCTCAGGATTTGATTGGATCATGAAAAGTGTGCTATGAATATTATGGGCTCATTTTTTGTTTCTCTTCACACATATGGTCTAAGTTACAAATTGTTTTATTATTAAAAGTTAGGTGAAAGAAAAAGTTGTTTATTTATTTATTTTAATTTAATGTTAATTATTATGAAATTAATATTTATTTTTGGAATTATTCATATATTAATTATGCCATTTTTAAGATGTTTATTTTTGTTCTTTATTAATATTATTGAATTATTAAGGTTTTTACATTTATTTTTATTTATTTTATGGCATTATTAATATTTTTATTTTTAATAGTTATTAGGGAATTGTTCATATTTAATTTTTATTGAATATTAATTAGTAAATTCATTAGTGAGTTCATATTGTTTTAAATAAATTACAGTAAGGGTGCAAAAGACAAAAATTTTTCTTTCTTCCTCCTGTTTCTCTTTCTGTTTCTCTCACTTTGTGTTTTATTTGGGAGAACGTATTCAGCTGTGGAGTTTTTATTTTAATATTAATTATGGTGTTACTAAGATTGTTTTGATTTATTAATTATTATGGGCTTATTAAGATTTTTTTAATTTATATTTATTATGAATTATGGGATTGTTGAGATTTTTTTATTGTGTTTTTTTTAGCAATATTATGGAATTAATAAGATTGTTATTCTTATTTTTTTTATAATTATTAGTATGTATTCTTATTTTTATTTAATATTAATTATTTTGTAAATCAAATATGATTTTATATAATTTTTTTAATACATTACAGTAGGGATGCACAAGACATTTCTTTCTCTTTTCTTTCTCACTCTCTGCTTCTCTTACTGTTTCTCTCTCTCTCTCTCTCTCTGTCTGGCTCTGTGTTTTATTTGGGAGAAAGTATCCAGCTGTGGAGTTTGTACAGATTAGGGGTCATAACCTTGGCTGGCAAAGTTAGTCACTTTTATACGCCATCAGACTAACCGCAGTGTTGAGGTTCTTATTTTAGACAGTTTAATCACAATCGTCTAGACAGGAGGTTGCACTTCTGAGCTGCGTACAGTCCAGTTCATCTGTCTGAGCGTCTCGCCCCCTCCGCAGCGCGCCGTCGCTGGGTTATATCAGCCAGCCAATACCGCTCTCAATCTGGCCCCGGGCGTCTGTGCTGCTATGTATGCAAAGCAGCTCGCAGATCACCTGATCAGAGTGACAGAACAGCTTCCTGCTCCCAAACACTGTGGCCACTGCCTGGCGTCCCAGAATACCTACAAAAGGTGTGTGTGTGTGTGTGTGTGTGTGTGTGTGTATGTGTTGAAAATGAATTCAGCTCGGGTCGTCATCATTGACGTCTGTGTCTCTCTCCTCCTACAGCTCTGGTGCTATGACAACAACGCTGCTGCCTTCCCACCAATCACACCTCTATCTCCACAGACACATATGCATGCTGTTCAGTCCAAATATTTAAGATTTAACCTCTACTAACCGGTATTATGGCATATGATAGATGTTTTTTGTAGACTTCATGTAATGTGAGGTCGAGATGGGTGAATATTGAAAAACCCTTTTAGGGCCTGAACATGCCTGGATCATATTTTTACTCCAAAATCAAAAGAAAAAAATTCAAAATTATATTTTGCATGATGAAATGGAACCTATATATAGATTTACTGCATTGTGACGTTATTTTGATAACAGTTAAACACATTAATATCCTATTTTACCCCAAAATAAAAAAAAAATCAGGATTATATTTTGCATGATGAAATGGAGCCTATTTATAAATGTATTGCATTATGACATTATTTTAATGACAATTAAGCCCCTATTTTCAATCCCTCATATTCTCAGTACCATAATAAAAGTATTTTTCATTACTTTTATGTGAAAGCAAAAATTACACATTTAAAATTATTTATGCATCATGGTAGAACTTGTTGCATCATTAAACCTTTAAATAACATTGATTAAAATAATTTAAAAAAAACATTGTATTTCGGAAATACAGTAATCTATTGAGAATAATGGGGAAAAAATAAAATGGACAGACACATGATGATAAAAAGAATAGGAAGGAGACTTGCTTAATTGTCATAAAAATAATATTGCAATGGAAAAAAAAAACCCATCATGTTCCTAAAGCTTATAAAAATATAATTTATATTTTTTTAGTTTGATTTTGTGATTAAATGAGCCCTAGACATGTTTTTTTGTGGGATGTGCTCTTTAGTTTGCACTTTATTTCAGCAAGAGAATTTTGCCCTGAGGTGGGCGGAGCTCTGTGGGAAAGGTGCGATAAGTGGGCAGAGTCTGTGTTTGTGAGAGGCGGGTTTGAATTCTTGTGTAAATTTGGTGCTCTCCGCAGGGTCATACCAGAGCCGTTCAGACAGACCAAAAGGAGCAGAACCACACGCATTCCTGCTCCCAATCTCACAGTCAATCCAAGACAGAAGGAAAGGGGGAAGGGGAAGGAGGTAAAAAGAGTGTGGGAGAGGGGAGGAGAAGAGGGGGGAGATCGCTGAACGGACACAGCCCCCCATCCCAAGCTGTTTCAGTTCCCGTCCACTCACGTGGGAGTCAGTATATTGTGGAGTTGGAGACGGAATGTGGACGGCGATGCAGGAAACATGAGATTTTAGAAAGGACGCGTGTCATTGGGCCACAGGATCGCCCCCTGGGAAGGTAAGACATTTGTGCGGTTATTGAGGTGTGGCGGCAGGCTTTGGGTTTGTGTTGATGCTTTTCGGGAGAAGACACGCTGCAGTTTCACGGCTTCAAAGACTCTGGATATCTGTCGAGAGGCAGAGAAAGCAGATAAAAAGGATTTCCCACATCTGAACAGCACAGTCTGTACGTCTGACTTTGTCTGTCTCTCTTTGACTTGCTCTATTTGAACATTCAAAGAAGCTTATTGACATGGTAAACAAGGGTTTTTGCATCAGCAAAACATTAATAACCATTACATGTTTATTGTTGGGTATTTTATACTGAACACAGAGCTTGCAGACTTTTTGTGGATGTGCAAAGTATGTTGGTCACTTTCTAGTGTTTGTATCTCAATGGTTTCATAAGTTTAGACTTCTCTACTTTAGAATTGTTCTTATTAAGGTTTCACATAGCTGATATATCCTTAGTCAAAATATTCCTGTTGGAATTTCAGTCATTATTTGCAATCAATCCTAAAACATCCTAATGGAATCGCTTAAGAATTGCATTAGATTCTATTAGATAAAGCGAAAATGATTGCCTTTGATTTTATTAATTCTTTTTTTGTTGTTATTATTTGAGACAGGGTCACAACCATATTCACAACCTGGAAATATCAGGGAAGTTTATATATATATATATATATATATAAATTTTTATTTTAAGTTACTATTGCCTAGAAATGGCCCTCTTTAAATGCAAAATATCTCTGTAAAAGATTTTTAAATTCCTTATCCAGTAATTTGGAATAACTGGAAAAGCCCTCTGTTGAGACCTGTTGAGTTCTTTTGGATTTTGAGTAGTCATTATCAGAACTTTACCTGTATTTTGTTGGAATAATGTCTTAACTAGAGTTTAAAGAAAGCTACAGGAGTTTTAAAACCCTGAAAGATTTGCTTTAAAGTCCTTGTGATGTTCTACATGGACATTTGATCCCACTGGGAACCAAATAGTCCTTTTGTGAACTATCTGTTCTTAAGATCTACTTGTTGTTTGCTGGAATTCTATGTTGGAATTCCCAATAGGATCCAATTGAAGGCAAACATTTTCCTATAGGATTTGTTTGGCTGGGGATATGAGTTTGCATGCGTGACATTTGGACTGTGGTTTGCAAAATAAGTTTTGTCTCAAGCAAAGTTGCATGTCTTAATAATGCTGCTTTTCCAATTGCCTGTTGTATATCAAAAAGATACATCCTTAAAGAACAAAGCTCATTTAAAGCATTGTTATTGTCTTCCACCCGTGGTCTTGTAAATGCTAATTGAACTGGTAGTTAATGACAGAACATCAACACGCAAACACAGGCTTTCTGCGGGTGTCAGACGCCGTAAACAGTCCATGCGTGTGTCGTTAGAATGACAGAGCTCCTGTGCTGCTGCTATTGTGTAGCCGTGTGAGGAAGATGATGAATTGCAAATGTGTGAGTAGGTCAGAGTCAAGGAGAATCCCCTCTGAGCATGTCCTGGTGTGAAGGACTTTAGATGGGTTGAATTCATTCGCTCTGAATGGCCTGAGAAAAGGAAAGGCAGAAAGACAGAAGGAATCTCTCATCTGCTGGTATACAGATGGAAATGAATCAGCCATCCGCAGTCAGGCAGGACAGGAGGTCAGCGCTGGTGGACGCAGCTGTGAAGTGCATTGCATCATATGAGAGCCAGTAGAGAACACATATAGAGAGTAAAAAAACTTAAAGCTGGTCTGAGTCACAAGCAAGGTCAGATTTGGGCCAAAAGTGACCAAAATATGGTGGCAAAAAGGTCCCTTTAGCAAATTCTTGCTTCTTGCTGGGGTTAGTTGTCACACTTTTGCCCTAGTTTCTAGGTTTATTTAGACTGAGAAACTTTCTTTGAGCAGGAGTTTAGATTCACACTTCATTGAAAACATATTGAACCTTTGTGACAACATGCCCCAATAGCATCACAAAAAGGTCCCTTTAGCCAATTATTCTTGTCTAACATTTCATATAGAGGAGATTGGGGCTAGTTGTCACACTTTTTACTTAGTTTCTCTGCTTATTTAAAAAAATCTGTTTCTGAGAGACAGTTTCACCATTACAGATCAGGAGTTTAAATTCACAGTTCATTAAAAACACATCGACCCTTTGTGACAACATGCCCCAATAGAATCACAATAGAATCTCTTTGGCCAATTCTTGTTGTTTAATATTTCATATAGAGATAACCTTGGCTAGTCACACTTTTTTTTCACACTAGTCACATGCCCCAATGGCATCACAATGGAAACCTGCCATGAAATGTTGTATGTAATGATATAAGCTACATTTCATGTTGATTTGATTGTATATTTAAGCCATAAGTGTTCAAATTTAAGATTTATGTCAGTTAATTGATTCAGTTGAAGTGTTTTACAAAAATGATTAGTGTGTTGTTACTCAGTATGCCCTTCCGAAGGTAAAAATGGCCCTAAATACCAGTTCCAGGGGCAAATATTTGCCCTTAATTGGCTAATTTCTGAATAAATATAGAGAAAACCATATCAGTTTTGAGGAAGTAATACTTTGTTTTGACCATAGTGCAGTTCGGTTTTCATAATATCCATACGGGAACCAGCAATCAAGCCTACAAAGGTTTAATTGTTATTTAGTTCTGCACGAGTGAAGAACTAAACAGGTTTAATACAGACCCAAGCTTTTTCTTCCCTTGAAAATAATTGATTGAAATAGTTTCCTTCTTTACTCGGGGGACACACTGACTTTGATAATTAAAAATGAGGCTAGAACGTGATTTTCATAAAGACAGATAACTTTCATTGTGCTTTGATGTGGTCATTGCCGCTGGGTTGCGTTTCCTGTACTCAGCGTTGTTAATGAACTCTCCTGGGTTGGTTTTGGGGGGTTAGAGGGATTCAGAACCATCGTAAGCATGACGTAAGCATCCTGCACTTATGCATTGTTTTCCAAACAGATCCTTCAGAGTTTTATAACTTACAGGCCATACCTGGAATACTTCCCTGTCAACAGGATCGAGTGATGTGTTCACACTAGCAGCTGAGTGATAGTAGTGTTTAAACACAGGGAATCCCTTTTATCTGTTCGCCTCTCAACTTTCATGTCAAGATGCTCAGGTCTAGCTCTGTTCCATAACCCAGATAGCTGCTTTTCGGTCTACACAGGCAGCATCTTAATGTAAATGAAGCCTCATATTGCCTCATACTGTAAGTGACTGATTTCAAAAGCTTGTTGCACAAATAGAGACTTGACTGCAATTGACTACATGTTTAGTTCTAATTTTATTTATTAATTGTTCATATAGTTTTCTATAAATGTATTAATTTCATTATAAACAGAAATATAAAATGTATTAATATATGAAAAATATTAGTTAATTCCATTATTATTTAGAATTTAATTTATTTTAATATATTTTTGCAAATGTTTTATTATAAATAGCAATTTGAAATTAATTTATTAATCCATTTTTTGTAACTACACTAGAGATGTGTTCCAATAGTGTTTATTTTATTTTTTATAATTTAATTTAATAATTTTATATATGTATTTATATAAATGTATTGTTTTTACTATAAATAGAAATATAAAATTTATTTATTAGTCACTGTTTTGTATAACTGCACTAGAGACTTGACTACAGTTTATTCCAATAGATTTTTTTTTACAATTTTATTATGTATAATTTTATGTAATATTTTATATATTTATTTATAAATGTATTATTTTTTTATTATAATACAAATATGAAATTAACTTATTAGACATGACTACAAATAATTACAAGAGTTTATCATTTATATTTTTATTTAATAAATTATTTTTATTTTAATGAAGAAATATGAAATTAAATTATTATTGAGCTTTTATGTCAATACTCTGCAGTACTGAATGAAATAAGTATTTATAAACATTTCTCTTGCGCCGATATTATTTTGGATGATTTCGTTTTCTCTGTGAGCTGCATTATGGGCTTGCCTTCTCTACAAAGCATGCATATGATGATCTGGCTATATCTTTTGTTTTGATGGTACATACTTACTTAAAATGCCGTAGAAGTGCTGTCTAGGTAAGCAGCTCACTAGGTTTTGTCTCACTCCTGTGGCCTATAATTCCGTTTACCCAGAATGCATCAAAAACACCATTCATACCTGTTCCACCCTGCGTTTTGATGAGTGATTTAATTGAAGGGTTATTATCTCTGGGGTTGAAGGCAGCTGTTTTAAAGGGGTTGTCTATGATGTCAAACCCCAAGACAGGTGGTTTAGGTCGACAGACTTGTGCACACGGTTAGTTTGTTCTTCGTCTTCCAGCTCCATCGTGGCACGGAGAGAGAAACAGGGGGCGTTATTGTACTGGAGCCGGATGGAAATTAAAGGCCTGTGATCGGAGCTCGGAGCGTGTAAACTAATTTCAACGTGGCTTTGTGTAGTCATGTGTGTCTGAATCCCGTGCTCGGCTGCACGGCGCGGGGACGAGGGGTGGGAGGAGAGACCCCAGGGTTCGGCGGAGGCTTCCACAGGGGAAAAACTCAGATAATGTGCAGGAGAGATTTTCTGGAAACTGGATTTGGTTAATCTGTTCTCGGCGTATCACACGGGGCTCAGGTAATCAGAGGAACACATGCCGTCGCTTGTCCTTCAGAAAATACATCTCTGAGCTGGAAAAGTTTCTTGGTCTGACCTCCGATGAGCTTTAATCACCTCAATGTGTTTGAGAAAGTGCTGTTTGTTGTTTGTTGGTTTGGATTTAATGTGCTGGGTTTCTGTATGTACTAATTTTTTGTGTTTACTTTATGAGATGAAAGAAAAGTAGAAGAATTAAAATATAAAAACTAGGGCTGTCGAGTGATTAAATTGTATTAATCTAATCAATGAAATGATGTGCTGATTAATTTTGTAAATCAACTGGCACGTCATTTAATTAATTAGATAAAAAAATTAAGTCACACATTAATTTGGGTTGAGAAATTACCCCCAAAACATGATTTATAGTCATGATTGTGTAA